GATTCAAACACAGGAACGACTGAAGTGGGGTGAGGGATGAAAAAGACGTACACAGCACAACCGTGAAAACTAAGAGCCCCACTGCCGCGCACGGGCTCACGCTGTAATCTACTCCTGGACCGAGCGGAAGATCGCTCGAAGGTCAGGATCAAACCATCTGAGCAAAAGAAGACTGCCATCTCTACTCTACTATAAATAAAGCAATAATTGGCCAATTAAATAAATATGTTAGATAAAATTAGGCCAGGCAGGGGCGCATGCCTGTAGTCCCCATTGAGGGGCTAAGGAGGAAGATGCTTTGAGCCTAAAGGTGAAAGTTTGCGGTGACTAGCTGACGCACAAACTCTACAGCAAAAAGTGACTGGACCAAAAACAACAAACAAAATTAATATCTCCTTCTTTCTGCAACGCTCAGGACCACATTGGCCGAATCCTTGCGGAGGGCAGATAAGATCCAAGACCGCGGTGTAAACGACTACGAGAAAAAAAGTTGGAATGTTGAAAAAGACAAAAACAAAAAGAGACGCCTGGGAAAAAATCGCTGCAGAGTGGAAAATTAATATGGGCCGTTAAAAACCAAGAGCCTCAGAGTCCCATGAGGCGGGCCGGGGGCATCACCCCTTAATCCTAGCAGGCTGGAGGCCGAGGCGGCGCGGATTTCAAGCAGAGATTCAAACCAACCTGAGCGAACCTCCGCCTCACCCATGAAAAAGAACAGAATAATTCAATAAATAAGTAATTAATAATAAAAAAACAGCCGGGCATGGTGCTTGTGCCGTAGTCCCAGCACTCGGAGGCGTGAGGCAGCAGATCACTTTTTTTACCCAGGAGTTTAGGTGCTGTGAGCTATTGCGAGCGCACATGGCACTTCCCAACCTGGGCAGAAAGCGAGACTCTGTCGCAAAAAAAAAAAAAGAGTCCCCCGATAATCCCAGATTGCCAGCGCAGACTGGGAAGCGCACAATACAGGTGAATCTTCAGCAGATGGTAGAAGAGGATGAAAAATACTTTTTTGTTTTTTTTGGGAAGAAGCGAGGGTATATAAAGAGAGCACATTTTTACTTGGATTAAAAGAAGGTTAGAAGAACCTTAAACTATTTCTGATAGGTTTGTTACCAGATAA